TGTATGTATGTATCTATATAGACATATATATGTATATGTGTGTGTAATATATATACATATATATGTGTATATACATATAATATATATATATAATATATATAATATATATAGATAGATAGATAGATAGATAGATAGATAGATAGATAGATAGATAGATAATATTATATATATATATATATATATATATATATATATATATATATATATATATATTATATATATATATATATATATATATATGTATAATATTTAATATATATATAATATATATATATATATATATATAATATATATATATATATATATATATATATATATATATATATATATATATATATATATATATATATATATATATATATATATATATATATATATATATATATATATAATATATATATATATATATATATGTATATATGTATATATATATATATATATATATATATATATATATATAATATATATATATATATATATATATATATATTATATATATATATATATACATATATATATATATATATATATATATATATATATATATATATATATATATATATATATATATATATATATATATATATATATATATATATATATATATATATATGTATATATATATATATATATATATATATATATATATATATATATATATGTGTGTGTGTGTGTGTGTGTGTGTGTGTGTGTGTGTGTGTGTGTGTGTGTGTGTGTGTGCGTGTGTGTGTGTGTGTGCGTGTATGTATATACAAAAAAGCTTTATATTCACACACACACACACACACACACACACACACACACACACACACACACACACACACACACACACACACACACACACACATATATATACATGTATGGTGTATATGTATGTATGTATATGTATGTATGTATGTATGTATGTATGTATGTATGTATGTATGTATGTATGTATGTATGTATGTATGTATGTATGTATGTATGTATGTATGCATGTATGTATGTACATATGACGGTACAGACATCAAAATCTAAATAGAAAAACAAAAAATATGATGGTAAATCAAATAAGAAATCAGACACTAATCCAAAATGATTCATAAGCATATTGAGTCCCATGTTGTTAAACCGCACGTTTCAACAATGCGAATTAATTGCATTGTATTACACTGTGGATATCAGAGGTGGATTGAGGGAATCCCGCCTCAGTTCATTGTGTCCGAAACACCGACGGGTGGGAATTCAGGTCCTGAAGTGAGAGTCCATTAGTAAGCTTATTTGAAGTTATTGTGTATTGTTCTTGGAGGAACTACTCTCTGAGAGGAAATTGTGTCTTTAGTTCATTTGACTACCTTTCTTAATATATCTAATTTCAGAGTCCGAGGAAGTTTCAAAGCTACGGTGCTATTTTAAAACCACTCTTTTTCTGCAATTTTCAGTAAAGTTATGTTTTTCTCCCTTTTTTAAGCCTAGGCACCTGCGAATACTGTCGAATATGCCGTAACGAACCAGCCAATATTTTAAAACTAAAACTGGATTAACACACAAACTTTAACTGAAATGGTTAAACACCCTTGTCATTACCTGTAATTAAGAGCATTGACTGCACACAGCTGGATAGAGTGTTTGGACTTTTATCCGTCTTCTTTCTTCCAAGATCCTTTTTATATAATCTTATAAACAGTAGGCACATATAGCCAAGGAAATCAGTTGCCTTCGATTCTCAAAAGCTGTACGGTTTCCTCAGAAAACAATTGCTCGTCCAGTGATAGTTACCATAGTAGACCGAAATTGACGAAGATAATGATGTTGATGAGATGATGGTGGTGATAATGATGATGTCGATGGTGAAGAAAATGAAGAGGAGGAGGAGAATCTTGATGCAAATGATGATGAAGGAGGGAGATAATGATGATAAGAAGGAGGAAGAAGAAAAATGGAGACAAGGAGAACGAGGCAGAGGATGATGATGACGAAAAAAAATGAAAAAACAATCGTCCTGCATTTTCCCTTGGATCGAGCCAATCTTTCCTCTCGCTCCCTCCAGCGACGTCTGCCTTAGTGCGAAACACAAATCTTCTTGATGAACCCAAATTTATGCAAATGAGACTCCTTACACTTCGTCTGGAGTACCGGCTCTTCACGCTAAAAACATGACTCGCTCGTGCTGGAAGGTCGAGGCCGTTCTCCCACCGCTGGTGGTTGGAGGTGTTGGCTTTATCCTTGTTCAAGAGTATTTTTTATGTTGGTGACGAGCATGATTTTCAATTTCTGTCTGATTTTCTGCCTGTCTCACTCTTACACACACACTATCTATCTATTTATTCACCTATCTTTTTACATATCTGTTTCTCCTTTTGTCATTTTTTTTTTCTTCTTCTTCTTTCTTCTTTTTCATTAAGTTTTTACTCTTCTCTTTATTCAAGGTCACCCAACATCACTGATCATCATCCATTAAAGACAATCCATACGGTACACCAGAGATAACACAAATAACCACACACGCACACACAAAAAAGTAGAAACTATTATCATTGCGTTCCATTAAGCATTTCTTTGTCTCTCCACACTGAGATAAACTTTGTGCCTAACTTAAGCCCCCAGCCCAACTTTTCCTCCGCTTCGAAAGCCCGTGTATCATGTTCAAGCCTCTGGGGGGATCTCAACGTGCAGAAAAGCGAAGTCCATGAAGCTGATGACATCCTCTCGCGACGGCAAAAATGAGTATGCTGTTGTGCGTCGGCAGTCTAATGAGGAAAGACAAATGCTGAATACGGGATGAGCACCCAGTCAGGGCCGAGTGCTTTCAGCCCGGCGCAAGTGCTCTGGCGTAAATCTCCATTGGGATATAGATAACCAAAGGAATCTTCTGGGTCTCCAGCCAAGGGGACTAGAGGAATCTGAGGAAGGACGCGGGGAAGTGAAGGAGAGAAGAGAATTAAGACGAGAAGAAGTGCTGCATCAACTCATAGAGATCCTTGAAGCACAATAACTTCCTTTCGGGACCCAGTGCATGAAGGACCACGCTTCTTGAACTCGTGCTTGCGGGGCGTAAAGGAGAAGCAGTTTAAGTTTCCCCAATTCGTAGGCACATGTCAAGGTTGGTTTATCTCTGCTGGAACATTAAGAGGGCGGGGGACGCCTCTGCGCGGCCCCGAAGCGGCTGCGGTGGACAGCGTAATGTCTTTAATGTTTTTATCTCGCTTTTCCTTCGTTTTTCGTATTCTTATCCTTTGGCCTTGTTCTTAGTGGAACAATTCTTTTTGATCAAATGTAACGAGTGTTACCTCACATGTTATGAATATCTCGAGCGGTCGAATTTTATTTTCTTTCTTCTTTTTTTTGCTGAGGGCAAATATATTAAGCCTTATATTCGCTATCGAATGATTATCTGAACCTGGTATTAATCAGAGTTCTAATGATGTGTCTGTTCTCAGACACAAAGATAATTTAAGCATGATGCCAAAGGACTAATACATTTCATTATGTTTTGCATAAGAGAAATTGCAGTTTTAACAAAATATCAAAACAAAACAAAACAAAACAAATGAGTGCTGCAAAAGATTTTAAGACCCGAATTAATCTTGTTTGGATTTCCGACGACCAAGAAGTTAAAGCGCAAGTTTAAAACAAAGTTATGAAATCCCATCTCAGCAAAGGGTATTTGAATTTCAAAAATCTTCAAAGCAAACCATGGAATGTTTTCACTCTAAAGAAAATTAATAGTCGTTCAGAAGAGGTCCTCTGCATCATCCTTTATTATTATTATCATTATTTATTTTTGTTTTATTGCTTCATAAAGAGCAAGTTCTTGACATTTCTATTCTGCTAATGTACCTTTTAACTTTGTGGTTTGTGCAAAATCATGTATTCTCACAGAAAGGTATGTGCGTATATATATGTATGTAAAAAGCTAGATAGATGGATAAATAGAGCGATGGCCAGGGATATAAAGATAGTAGGTAGATAGACAGACTTATTTCCTCGTTTATCTAATTGTCTGTGCGTACATACATAAGTACATTCATTAACTCATTCTTTCATTAATTTATACATACATACATGCATATATTCTTTTTTCTTTCATTTTACCTTTCCTTTGTCCATCTTTCTTTTTTTCTGTATCTTTCTTACTCTCTCTTAATTCAACTGTATCTTTCTTTCAATTTCAGTTCATCTGTATCTTTCTTTCTCTCCCAATTCATCTGTATCTTTCTTTCTCTCTCAATTCATCTGTATCTTTCTTTCTCTCTCATCTGATCTTTTTCTCTCCAATTCATCTTCTTTCTCTCTCAATCATCTGTATCTTTCTTTCTCTCTCAATTCATCTGAATCTTTCTCTCTCCCAATTCATCTGTATCTTTCTTTCTCTATCAATTCATCTGTATTTTCTTTCTCTCTCAATTCATCTGAATCTTTCTTTCTCTCTAATTCATCTGTATTTTCTTCTCTCTCAATTCATCTGTCATCTGAATCTTTCTTTCTCTCTCAATTCATCTGCATCTTTCTTTCTCTCTCAATCCATCTGTATCTTTCTTTCTCTCTCAGTTCATCTGTATCTTTCTTTCTCTCTCAAGTCACCTGTATCTTTCTTTCTCTCTTCATCTGTATCTGTTCTTTCTCTCTCAATTCATCTGTATCTTTCTTTCTGTCTCATTTCATCTGTATTTTCTTTCTCTCTCAATTCATCTATATCTTTCTTTCTCTCTCAATTCATCTGAATCTTTCTTTCTCTCACAATTCATCTGAATCTTTCTTTCTCTCTCAATTTATCTGTATCTTTCTTTCTCTCCCAATTCATCTGAATTTTTCTTTCTCTCTTAATTCATCTGTATTTTTCTTTGTCTCTCAGTTCATCTGTATCTTTCTTTCTCTCCCAATTCATCTGTATCTTTCTTTCTCTCTCAATTCATCTGTATCTTTCTTTCTCTCTCAATTCATCTGTATCTTTCTTTTTCTATCATTTCCTCTAAATCTTTATTTCTTTTTCAAGTTCTGTATTTTCCTCTTCGTTCCAGGCTGAAGCTGGTGTTCGCCTGCATGATGGAGCTCTCCAAATTTCCGCTCGATTCGCAAGTCTGCACCATGGAGATCGCCAGCTGTGAGTATGTCGGGGGTTTATTTCCTGTCGTTTTATTTTTTTTCGGCTACTTTTCTTTCTTGTTGTTGTTGTTTTTTTTCTATCCTGACACTTTTCTTTCCCGATGTTTTTATTTCCTGTCGCTCATAATTCTTGGCGATTTTATTTCCCGACGTTCTTTTCGCGCCATTTTTACCCGCCGATTTAGGTCTCACCATTTTTATTTCTATCCACTTCTATTTCTGTCACTTTTATTTCCCGCTACTTTTATTCCCCGCCGCAATTATTTCCGCCGTTTTATTTCCCGTCGTCTTTATATTCCGCCGTTTTCTATTTCCCTCCGCATTAATTTCCCGCCGTTTTATTTCCCGCCGTGTTTATTTCCCTACGAATTTATTTTCCGAATTTGATTTCCGTCGTTATTTTTTTATTTTCCCGCCGTTTTTATTTCCCGTCATATATATTTCTACCCACTTTTTTGCTGTCCGTTTTATTCCCGCCACTTTTATTCCCCGGCATTTTTATTCCCACCACTTTTTTTCCCGCCACTTTTATTCCCCGCATTTTTATTCCCGCACTTTTATTCCCCGGCATTTTCATTTCCCGCCACTATCATTTCCGCCGCTTTTTTTCCCCCGCCATTCTTATTTCCCTCCGCCTCGTGTTATCTCTCGCGTGAGACTCGCCTGCCTTATCTATCCCTTATCCTCCCAGAACTTGTTACTGACCCGACAGCAGCGGACTTCGGTTGCAAAGAGATACAGAGAAATACAAACGTACACATATATACATACATACACAAGAACATACATGCCTGTATACATTTGCGTATGTTTTTTTTTGTGTGTTGTGTGGGCGTGGGGGGGGGGCATGTTTGTGTGTGTATGTGTGTGTTTTTGTGGCGTGTGTATGTGTGTGTGTGTGTGTGTGTGTGTGTGTGTGTGTGTGTGTGTGTGTGTGTGTGTGTGTGTGTGTGTGTGTGTGTGTGGTGTGTGTGTGTGTGTGTGTGTGTGTGTGTGTGTGTGTGTGGTGTGTGTGTGTGTGTGTGTGTGGTGTGTGTGTGTGTGTATGTTGGGCGTATGTGTATGTGTGTGTGTGTGTTGTGTGTTGTGGGGTGCGTATGTGTATCTGTGTGTGTGTGTGTGTGTGTGTGTGCGTGTGTCTCATCACAAATAGCTGGATCCTGAGAGTAAAATTTTTCTTGGAAAAATGATCCCCAGATATTCTGTCCGAAATTGGATATTGGGCGTCTCTCCCGCTTTCTTTTACACTCAGGTGGGAATGAGGCAATTTATGTTGCGTGGAATTCGATTTTTGGAAGAATTTGCTCTCTCTTTCTCCCTCTCGGTTGGTCTCTCTCTCTCTCTCTCTCTCTCTCTCTCTCTCTCTCTCTCTCTCTCTCTCTCTCTCTCTCTCTCTCTCTCTCTCTCTCTCTCTTCTCTCTCTCCTTTCTCTCTTTTCTCACTTTCTCTCTCTCCCCTCCCCTCCTCTCTCTCTCTCTCTCTCTCTCTCTCGCTCTCTCTCTCTCTCTCTCTCTCTCTCTCTCTCTCTCTCTCTCTCTCTCTCTCTCTCTCTCTCTCTCTCTCTCTCTCTCTCTCTCTCTCTCTCTCTTTCTCCCTTCCTCTCCTTTCTCCTTGTCCTAGTGTCTTACTTCCAGCTCATTCTTTCTTTAAAATAAAGAAATAAAAAAAAAATCCACAAACCCTTGATGGCAATATGAAGCCCCGACACCTTTTTCTTCTTCTTCTTCTTCTTCTTTTTTTTTTTCCTTTTGAGGTCGGATCTCTCAAGATGTTTGAGAACCGTAATGGATCAAGGATTTCTCAGCCGTTTTCTTTTTCAGTTTGCTTTAAAATTCTTTCCTATTTTTTCTCTCTATTTTATTCTTTTTTTTTCTCTCAGTATTATTCTTTTTATTATTTCATGATTTCTTATTATTCTTATTCAATATATTCTTATCATTTTCGTTTAGTTCTTTTTACTTCTTAATTCTTTATCTTGATTTTTTTTTCATCACTTTTCTTTATTTTACACAGTATCATCGTTATCATTATCATATTATTATCATTCTTGTTGTTGTTCTTGCTGTTGTTTGTTTGTTGCTTTTGCTTTTATCGTCATCCTCTTCATCATTATTGGTTATTTACATTTTATCATAATTTTCATTCTTATCTTGATTATAGTATTTGTTAGAATTTCAGTTATCACAGTTATTGTTATTCTGTTCATTATTATTGTTATCATGTCAACTGTCATTGTTATCGTTCACTTTTAATCGGTACTGTAATTGTTTTGTTTTTTTGCTATCAGTTGCTATTGTCTTTGTTAGTGTTCGTCAAAAGATTATCATTGATGTTGCTTTTGTTATTTTCACTGTTACTCTCAAATTAACCATCACCATTACTACAATCACGTTTTATTATCATCATTATCATGCATCTTCTCTTCCACACTTAAGGAGACAAGAAAAATTACAAAATTTCCACTCAAAAGATCGTTGGTCTTTTTAACTCTGGCCAGCCTTCCCCCGCCCACGCCACGCCCTTGCCCGCCCCTTCCGCCCACGTCACGCCCATCCCGCCCCTTCCACGCCCGATCCGCCCCTATCTTGCCCAGGCCCGCCCGCCCCCGCTCCGCCCCAACGCTATCCCACCCCCTAAATCCCACCGCCCTAAACCCCACCGCCATATCTAAACCCCAAATCCCCCACCGCCCTATTCCCACCCTAACCCCCTGCCCCTATATCCCCACCCCCTAGCCCCTAACCCCCCTCCCTAGCCCAAGCCCCGCCCCTATCACTGTCCCCAACCCCACGCCCCGCCCTCCCACACTCCTCCTTAAAAGGCAGGGCGAAGGAGGCCTTTCACGACTCATTAGGACGGGAAAATAGGATCTGTCGAATCAGGGTCTGGGCGGGATTAGTGTCCGACGCACACGACGTCAACCGGAATTAGTGCATGTCGCGCCCGGAAAATGTTTTTTATTTATTTATTTATTTTTCTTACTGTTTTTCTGTTTGGATGGTTTGTTTATCTATTTACTTATTTTGTCTCATCATCTATGTATTCTACATTTTTGTGTTTTATTATTATTATTTTTTTCGTTCTATGATTTTTTTTTTTTTTTTCGTTCATCCTTTTTTCACTTTTTCTATTCTATCTTTTTTCGTCTTTTGTTTTTAATGGGATTTGGTTTTCATTTCGGTTTTGTTATTGTATCTTTGTATTTGTTTTGTTTTATGTCTTTCATTTTCCGTTTATTTTTATTTATTTTTTTTCTTTCTTTCTTTTCCTTCTCTCCATCAAGATTTGAACATACCTTTGATTTCTGTGTTTCTTACTCTCCATCGACTTGTTTTTTCTTCTTTTTTATCATTTATCCAACCTGTCAATCACGCTGTCTTGGAATAGTTTTTTTTTTGTTTTTGTTTATATATATATATACATCTATCGGCATCTCCCTTGCCTCCCTTCATTTCATCACTGCCTCGTCTCCACATTCCATCATATCTTTTATTATCTTCTACAATTTATCACTCTTTTTCCGTCTGCTCCTCGATCCTTGGTCCCTTCTCACTATCTTCTTCTTCGCCTCTTCAACTAATTTCGAGTTCCTTATCTTCCATTTGCCTCCCCTCTCTCTTTCTTCATGTCCTCTGCTCTTTTCTCTTCCTCTTCCTTACCCCCTCTCGCCCTCTCCCTCTCTCCCTCTCTTCTTCCCTTCTCCTCTTCCGTTCTCTCTTCTTCCCTGTATTCCTCCCTCCCCTCGCCGTCTTCTTCTCTCCTCTCCTTTTTATTCTTGCCTCTCTTCCTTCCCGTTCTTACCCTCTCTCTACTCTTTCTCCATCTCCTTCCACTTTCCTCCCTCCTTCCCTTCCCTCCTCCTCTCTTCCTATCCTCTATTTCTCTCCTCGTCTCATCTTCCCTCTTTCTCTTTTCTATCTCTTTTCCCCCATCTCCTCCTCGGCTCCCCTTCTTCTCTCCTCGTCTACCTCCCGTTTCTCCTCCCTAGTCTTTTCCTTTACTTTTCTGCCTCTCCTCCTATCCTTCTCTTTCCCTTTCCTCCTCCCTTCATCTCCTTCTTTCTTCCCTCCCTCCATCTTCTTCCTCTTTCTTCCCTCCCCTCCCGCTTTCTTTTCTCCCCTCCTGTTTCTCCTCCCCCCGTCTTTTCCTCTCCTTGTTTGCCTCTCTTCCCCCGTGTCCTTCTATCCTTCTCTTTATCTTTCTTCCCCCTTCCATCTCCTTCTTTCCTCCCTCCCTCTATCTCCTTCCTCTTTCCTCCCTTCCTTCTTCCTTTCCTCCTCTCCTTCTCTCTCCTCCCGTTTCTTCCCCGCCTGCGTGAAACAGCTGATTCCCCATCTCGCGTGCTGTCCATCATCATTACTGTTTTCTCTGAATCAGATGCTGACTTATGACTTTTGGAGGAAAGTTTATCTCGGGATTTATTAGTCTGGGTCAGAGTCCAAGTATTTCCACCGGAAAATGACAGGTTAATTATCTTTTTTTTCATGAGATCAGGTGTTGGTTGCATGTGCGAATATTTTGCGTGAATGATATCTGAAGTCTTAAAAACAAAGATCATTTTAAAGGTTTTAGGAATTAATAAAGAAATTTAGAAGCTTAACGGTTGTGTTAAACTGACCTGCAATACCCCCTTTATTTTATTTTTCTTGTTTTAATTTTTTTTTTCAAAAATAATTTTATAACTTTACCGCATTTTTTCTTTTCCATTCTTTACTGTTTTTTTCTTTTTAATATAGGATATATAGGTCAACGAAAACTAGGTTCTGTCCACAAAAGACTGCGAGGATGGACGGTACGTAAAGCAATAACGCTCGGTGTGTTTGCCTTCCTTGTGTGCGTTTCTAGATATTGAAGTAAGTAAATATCCCATGTACGACTTACCCCAGTCAGAAGAGCCACAAATCTATTTCAACAC